GAGAGAGAGAGAGGTGATCATGTTCAGACTGCTGCATGCATCCTTCAGTCTCCTCGCTGTCAATGACAGTAGATCTCAAACATCCATTACATATTTCAGAAACGTTTAGGACATAGGAATAATAAGATTTATAAGATACAATAATTAAGAATGTTTCTGTCTCTTTCATCCTCAAATATTACAAGCATTCAAATATTAGATTACAAGCGTTTGCATTAGAAGAATATAGATATCCCAGAGCAAATGGACGAAAGCTGTGTTTAAAAAATCTATTTTTCTAAAAGCGGCAGAAATATTGTAGTATAACATGAGTAATATGTTAATGAGTAAACGCATTTGTGAAACTCTCTAAATCTCTTAAAGTAGTTCTGATTTACCTCATATGATGCAGATAGTACTCCACCGACGGAGAATCCGATTTATTCTACAAATTGTCTAAAAAAAACGTTAAATCCACATTGCGAGTGATGGAGCGTGGATGGAGTGATGCTGAGGTCAAATTCAGTGTAGCGGTATAATCCGCGCATCCAGAGCTCTCTCTCCTCCGCTCGACTGAGGTGCTGGTGGAGCCTGTCCTGAGCTCGCGAGCTTCGCGGCTCCGCCCACTACTTACATTAAACACACCATTTAAAGACATACCAAGACAAACATAGCGTTTTCTGTCAGGAATCCCCTTTAGGCATCTTCAAATGAGTGACTATCCATTTTAATCCTACATTTAACATCACTTCTCCTCTGCAGATCGATCGAGTCTCGGATGTGAGCGGCTGTGTAAGACATCTTTGCATATCAAAAGCCTTCAGAGTTTTCTGGAACACTGGGAGTATTTGGGGAAGTCTCCATGGTCCTGAATATACATTGTGCTTTAACTGCCCAGATAATAAACACAAAAAGTAATGACAGTTCCGTAAAATCCATAATGAAACACATTTAAATGGGTTTCTAATAATTCTAATTGATACATCACGTTACTGTCATAGGCATGAGCACTTATGTTTTCCTCATTCAGAAATATCCTCAGTCTGCCGACGCTCAGATCAAAGCTAATCTAGTCTATTGCCGTGACATATGAGGTAGTTCTCGCGACCTAATTAAACGGAAAAGTTAATGAAAAGATCACTGACGCGGCTTAATGAGGCAGTGTGAGAGTCCTGTGGGAGTTCGCAAGAGAATGCAAATGCACGCAGGAAACGTGAAATAAAACTAAATATTGTATTATTAAATCAAATGATTCCTAAATGCTGTAAATGTTGTGTTGCATTTGAAATATTTGATTTATTAGGGCCTCTAACAAGTGCTGGGGGAATTTAAATGGCTTGCCTCAGAGTATGGTAACAGTAAATATTTAGTTTTGGGATCTACAGCCCTCTACAGCCCTGGCAGAATATCCACACACCTTTATCTTTAATAGAGGGCCTAAAATTATTAGGAACCTACACAACACTTGTCCTAGCGTGATTTTTAGTGAGTATAACATATGTCTCCCTCAAATCCACACATGTGTAGTTCATCACATTAACTATGAATTTCTGTCACTAATGTTTGGCAACAGAAAGAGCACTGATATTTTTTGAATATGTATTGCAGGGGTGTCCAAACCTCTTCCTAAAGGGCCACTATCCAGCAGGAATTTAGCTTGAACCCTAATTAACCAGCTAATCAAAGCCTTCAGACTTACTAGAAAGGTGAGTGTGTTGGAGCTAAAACCTATAGGACAGCAGCCCTCCAGAGGTTCTCTGTGTGTGTGTGTGTGTGTGTGTGTGTGTGTGTGTGTGTAAAACTACAAATGTCTGTGTACATTGTTTTGTCTGAAAATACATTAAAATATTACTAAATCATCCAGATAGATAGATGGATAGAATGTTTTATTTAATGTCTTATTAATGTTTTGCTTGAAAAGTGTGTTTGTTTAAAACTGATTTGCATCAGCATGAAACTATTCTTTATTTTTAGAAAAACATGTCCACTTGATGATAATGATGATTGTGATGATGATGATGATGATGATTATTATTATTATTGCTTAGGTAGACTGAACAGTGCTGAGCTTAAATGCAATCAGCAATTGAGTGGTTATTTATTTATTATTTTGCTATTTATTTATTATTATTTATATTATCGCTATTTTTCATACTACTTCATATATATAATTGAACAAATGTAACAATATATATTGTATATATTTTGTATCCTCTTTTGGGAAGCTTTTGAGAAATAAAACAAATCAAGATGAAGCATCTTCTTGAAATCCGCAGCTGTATGCACCTAAATGAATAGGTAGCCATCTCCAGCCCTTATCATTTACATTTACAAGCTCTTTGCTGATGCTTTGTTAACAAACTACCATAAGTGCATCTCACCTCACCAGCGCACACACAGGCACTTTGCAACTGCTAGTGAGTGAGTGTCAGTGGAGGAAATATCTTTTGTTGTCATTTTTTAAGGCTTGTGAAGATTGGGATCTTCTTTCCCCATGTTACAGAGACAGCACTGTTCATCTTTCTTCAACAACACCTCTCCTAAGACACCTGTACACTTTCCAGGAGATCATCTGCTACAATTCATTATCCCACAGACCTCATCTAAGTACATTGCTTTTAAAGCACCCCCAAACATCACAGCAACACATAAAAACATGCTCCAAGTCTAATCTATTTTACGCAACTAGTTATAAACTTTGTCCAAGCTCAGCAGCGACTGCCTCATCAAAGATAGCCCGGCACTGGGTCATGTTAGTCCTGTAAACAGAAGGTCAGTCTAACAAGCTTCCTGTCACTGCCAGAACTAATATCTACTTAGACTGCTTAGTACTGTCCAAATGTAGCTCTCTACAAATCAAAGTAGGTCCCACAAGAAGTGCCACACCAATCTCTTACCTAAATCCACAAGCCTCTTCTTTCCTGACATTTCTCCTGCCTCAATCTAACCATACACATTTAAAGTAGAACATTCTTCCAGAACTGTTTCCCGACTCTTTTTTTCACTCACAGTGTGTGAAGCTAATGCTCTCTGCCCCGCGGCCTGCGACACCTCTGTCATAATTAGGAGGAACATCCTTCAGCCAAGGCAGGTGGAGGAGCCCCCTGGGAGAACCTGTAAAAACAGTCACATTCCTGACAAATGAAGAGAATGTCTTCAAGGCAGGACAGACATTCTTTGCTACAATATTATACCCTTTATTCACTCAGTAATAAAACTTAAAATAAAAATGAACCTACTGATAAATATGCATTTAAAATTAACATTGGCAAACCGTGAGGGTTATTATACTATATTTTTCACAGCATGATATATTATATATATTTCTAATGACTGCATATTCACTCATATTGATGGCTTAATGTGAATAAAATATTAAGATGCGCCCCTTAAGAACAGCGTGTACTGCTAAATTTTAGAGAAGCATTTGGTAAGAATGATGATGCATCCATAATAAAATACATAATAAACTACTGGGGTAATACACACACATACGGTATACATCAAAATTAGTGTGTGTAAGGAAAAAAGAGTGTCACTAATGTAAAATACTAAAGTTGTACAAGTCGGCTGAATAACAACAAAGAGATACATCTTGCACTATATAATACTATGAACTATATACCTATATTTTAATAGAGGGCATCTATTGTTTATATAAATGTATTGTGTACACATAAAAATAACTCTTAAACTCTAAAAATAGCTCAGTTAAAAATTCAGATACATTGAGAAAAGGTGAATTGAGACAATATTGTTAAATATTACTGTTTGAATTGCTGTCTTACAACAGTGATGACAAATAACCATTTTCAGGACCTACCATGCCCCCAAGTTACAGGCATGCATATGCAAAACTTGCTGCCATGAAAATTAGGTAATTAACAGTGGTGTGCCTAATGGTATGTTGTGCCATTTAATAACGCAGATTCTTGGTGTCTACCATCTCTCTGCTACAGGTCCTGGTGCCATGACTGTATGATATCTACTGTAAGTGCTACAGACTTTCACCAGATGGCCAGTGTGTTTGTGTGTCCATGTGTATGCAAACAATCACGCTGGTTTACAGGTGTGACTTAGCAATAATTAATGGGGGCTCTCACACACCTCCCTGCTGGTTCAGTCGCAGTGCTATTAACCAACCGTTTAGCACCCTTGGCACTTTGGCAAACTGGTGCTGGCACCTCAGCCCTAGTGATGTGGGTACATTTTTCATGTCTGGGAATGATTTCGGGCTGTCTGACGAAGGCCCTGCAGGTAGATGAAACATTAGAAAACACTTTTTTCCCCTGAAAAATAAATATATTAAAAAGTCAGTGCACATGGAGAAAATAGAGTTTACTCTTATTTTTTGTTCTTTTTTTAACTGACCATTCATTGCATTAAAAAGCATTTTCTTGGTGACTGTGTCAAGCAGAGAAAAAAACTTTGTCCTGTTCCATAATGGATGCTAGTGAATGCATTTAGCCATTTTACCCCAATAGGATCACAGACAGTACAGTAATTATGTTTGGTGCAGAGCAGTAGCCTACATCACAAGTGAGCAAGTGTCTTTATGAGGCATGAACACATTCAGAGGAAAGTGGCTCATAAACCTTGAAGTTTTCCAACCAAAATAAAAGTTGTATGGTTTGAGAGAATATATATATATATATATATATATATATATATATAGTCACAAACACACCAGACACACCAGCCACCTACACCAGATCACAATCACCAGATTACTGATTACGGACACCTGATTCCACTTACCATACCCCTTATCAAGCTTCTCGCCTCATTCCATTGTTGACTGGTCTCAAGGTTGCACACCTTCTCCGATCTCTCCACTTACCTGCCTGGATCTTCGTGGCTCCGTGTCTCACTCTCTGCTGTTGGCATTCCAAGAAGGATTTAAGATAAGGACAGTTATTCCTCAGTTTATGAGCCTTTTGCCTTTTATGTTTGAACATTTCGTTTTTGAACCTACCTTCAGATTGTGGCAATAAAGAAGCTCTGAATCTTCCATTGTGTGCCTCTCTATCCAGTTTTGACAGAACACCAGTCATATAACAGTAGTATACTCAACGGATTGGAGCTTCGCGATGGAGACACGGAGCCCCCTTTCACCAGATCACTTCACCGAATTGGTCCAAGCACTACGTGAATCACTTCAGCCTCTTCCCGTCACGCCTTCAGCCTCCACATGTCCCATGGCCAAGCCCGCAGCCTTCTCCGGTGAGGCGGCCGCCTGCAGCGGATTTCTTCTCCAGTGCTCACTCTACTTCGAGTTACAACCCCATCAATTTGTGAATGATAGAGCTAAAATCACATTCATCATGTCTCTGCTATCCGGGGGAGCGCTGCAGTGGGCGGAATCACTCTGGAATTCGTACAGTCCCCTAACACGTTCCCTGGATGCTTTTGTCGACCATTTCTGAGATGTGTTTGGCAAGTCTACCTCGGCGATCTCCGTGCATGACGAGCTCTATGGCAAGCCAAGTCAAGTCAAGTCAAGTCACCTTTATTTATATAGCGCTTTTAACAATACAGATTGTGTCAAAGCAACTGAA